GTCAATGAAAAAACGTGATTTTATTTAAAGTTACTTTATTAATTAATTGATAACCAATACATAATTCGTTATTAATGCTATCCTTACTGTAAACAATTATACACAAATATAGGTGTCGACTGTCGAAATGACTTATAATTCCCGTACGTAACTTAGTGACGTATGGTGATCGATGATATGCCGAATGCGCGGGGTCGAGGAATATGCTTATAAAAGCCATTTCTCAAGCTTATCACAGGCTATATGATAATTATGAACACTTCATAATATGGACCGTAAGCTCATCTTCAATAACTTTGTTTAATTTACGGTTTTATAATACGTAAACTCAAACACGTTTTGATTAAAGCGTAGCTTACTTACTTCTCTTATAGGTAGAAGTCTATGATAATTTTTCGTCTATTAACCAACAGAAATTAGTCAAATAAGAAATATCAAATTAAATTTAAATATTTAAATCTAATATCACAGCATAATACTATACTACAACGTCATTGTACGTTTAAGGTACATTTTAATGCTTAACAAGTTTTAATTTCCCGTGTAAAAAAAAGTTTAATTTAATTAGATGGCAATATTTTTTAAGCTGTAATAGGAATATGTATTTGTGTCGTTCAACGAAATGAAATAATTTTATTAAAAATAAATAGTTTTATTAGACTTAATAATTTTTAGATATTTTCAACTGTATAGTATTTATAAACTGAACACTGCTGATAGGCTAATAATTTAAATGCTTCAAGCTTGATACGACGCGTTCAGTGGCATATGAATTATAAAATAATATTGTAAATTATAATTTATAATTATTCTTAAATGGTCAGTTTTGAAATAAAATGAAAATACATTACAATTCACTAGTCAAAAGGTGACAAAAATAAAAATATAATCGCTGTTGCCTCACCGTTGAGAGAAAATATATGGTTGTTCATTAGTCGACGTATCGTTAATGATTAGGTTTTTGCTATTATAAAAAATATTTTTATTAAACTATACTATGCATCTCAATCAGACGTATAACTATGCAGTAAAAAATAGAAATATTCAATAATATAAAAGGTATTAAATTTTAATTTTAATATTCCGGTTTGGTTTTAAACGAAGAAAAAAATACTTTTATATTGCCCCATACTCTCCTTCCTGCAAATCTAACCCTTTGCGGATTATATAAATGCATATTTTATGTATAGTCCATCTCTTTTATAATTCCTAATTTCAACCTTGACTGTATAGCGACGGTTTCACAAATCTAAAACTCCGTCACATACTTAGTCTTATTATTAGATATTCTATACAGAAATAATCCATAGTAAAGCTGTGTGTACCTATACTTTTTTCACATTAGGAACCACTATAAATACATAGACATGGGTACATGGGGGTGAACTATTTTTACAAGGCTTTCCTCCATGCAACATCGTTTATTGAAATAGTCAAAAATACCTCATTACAGCACGTCAGCACACCCGGGGACCAGACACCGCTTTCCTTAACGAATTTATGTTACATATTATTATACATCTGCTATACCAATAACACGTCTGTTCGTCTCTGGGAATTCATTAAATAATAATACAACTTAACATTTTTTAATTATCTTCAATCCAATTTAATAAATTATTTATTTTATAAACGTAAAACCACAATCATTCTTTCATTAGTATACTGCAGTCAGCAGTATTATACTTGAGATATTGAGCAAGTTTACGGTCAACCTCATCGGTTGGTTTTAGTTAGCATTATTTATACCGAGGGTGGTGCTTGTGTGGTAAGCAAAGTTGTACCCTAAAGTATGTATACTGACACAAACTATATACCAAGTGTTAATTATATGGATATAAATGGTGGAATTTAGTGTATACTCGCGATGTTTCAAAAGACACCGATTACAAATTGAACTGTTTTTTATGAGGGTGCAGAAATTGAGGATTCAGAAATATTTTAAGGAAAATAAGAGATGAATAAAATCAATAAACTTAAACCCAGTCAGTTTTTTTCCAGCTGTTATGTTTAATGTTTTTTTGAACTAATTTTTTTTTTTATATGTATACAATTTTTAAAGAATAATTTTTACAATAAGAACAAGAAAAAAATTAATATTCATATAAAGATTGAGACTGACGGAGTAAGAGAAGAAGCAAAGTGATATTGTAACTTCAGGGGACAAAATAAGTAGATATAAATACTCAAGTTAAAAACAGTGTAATAATTAGAACCAGGAACTTGATGCATTTCGCATTTGCATCTGTTTTTCTAATGTGTTTATACAAGGCTTATCTTAACAGAAATGTAGCTTATATATTATATAAGATTCGATGGAACCATTTTAATTTGTCATTATTTTGCATTTTTTCAATTTTGTAGATATATTTGCATTTTTACATTTTTGTTTTTTATATTATTTTGACAAAACTAAATATTTGAAAACACGTATTGTACAGCCCAAAACCTTCAATTATTTTTCTAAAAAACCGATTTTTTTTTTTTTGTAATTATTTTGTATTATTAACATTATTTCTTATCTCCGTTTTAAATTTAATTTAGGCCCTGTGTAAAAAAAAAAAAACATATTTAATGTATAAAAATATTAGCATTATTTAAATTCAGATGAATAAAATAGTAAATGAATGATTAAAAAATATTAATTTAAAAACCATGATTTTTTGATGATTTATTATTAAAAAAACGTCATTTTTGAAAATGCTATGATATGTTTTGGTATTTTTAGGGTCATTTTTTGATGTGTATAAGTCATTTTAATACTTTTTTTGAGTATATTTTTTAGATATTTTGGTCATCAAGTTCTGGGCCCTAGTAATAATAATAGTTCAGTAGATGTCTCTATCAGAATATCACACGTCGCAGACTCGCAGGGAAATATTAGAGAACCAATCAACATTAAAAAAATATTATGTTTATTTTTCAAAAATTAATAAATAATTAGATAAAAATGAGTTCTTCTTTTTTCAAAATAAATACAAAAATATGCATTTATGTTTACTAACAAATTAATTACGTCATGTTATAACCTCATCGTAAATAATACTAAAATACTAAATTGAATCGATCGATATACACACATACAATTTTCAATTAAAATAAATATTTAAATTTTATAAAACGATGGGGATTAAATGAAATAATTCGAACATTACCTGTTTTTAGCCAGAGTTAGAAATTTTAACATTAATTGTATTGAACTCGAGTGCAAATCGAATAGTTTGGTTTAGATAAATAAAGTAAAGAAAGCAGTCCAAAAATCCCTTTAACAACGATGCGACTGCAAAAGCCAAAGTAGATATTCATGATTTGAGGTTCGTAATTTGTGATCGTAAAAATTCATCATTTCTTGATATCTACGAACAAAACTCAACACACAATTCGTATTTTTTCATGATTCACAATTAAATTTGAGGTCCATGTCTTTTCTGTTCGTGGGGATTTGTAGATATTCGTCTACAAAACATACGCCAAAATATTAGACTTGAAGTTACAAGTCACACAATTTACATAATACCATCTTGAATCTTGAGCACGATCTATAAATGTTAAATTTAATTTGTTTATCTCAAAATACCTTTAGAATTTGAATAGTGATAAATGATAATAAAGTGTGATAGTGACCTCAATCACAATTTTTATAGTAATAAGTGCAGAAATGTTATTGGTACCACATTTTAATAATTTGATAAATTAAATATTTTTCACGGTTTTATAGATTTCTTCTTCAAATTAATTCATAATTGTATATTAGGTACCAGGTACTTATATTAGTCTGTGTACAAATTTAATAAGTATCTACCTACAATTGGCGCAAGGGTGGATCCAGCATGTATTTACAGTCGGGGCACTTTAAAGGAAAAATTATATAATATAAATAGATATAGCCCCACACTTATACAAAAATGTTTAATATTATTTTTTTCCTATGAGGGTGGCACTTGCCTCCAGTGCCCTCCCTGGATCCACCCTTGAATTGGTATGATCAAACTTCATTAAAGATTTTTACATACAAAAGAAATATACCAAACAATTTCCAGTGAGCCAATTTTTTCTGTGACAATTTTAATGTACAATCATAACAAAATTTTAAGTATATAGATAAATAAAATTTGAATATAAGTAATTAAATTTTATGCATACTATAAGTCTGTAAATACATCACTCAAATAATTCAGATAAAATGTTTTATAGGTAATAACTAATAACTTATAACATAGGTATTTCAGAAAACTACAATGATAGTAATCACAAGAAACATTATACCTAATACAAAGAAATTTACTAAATCTCTGTTAAGTTATCAGTATAGTTAACAGAATTAAATTATCACTAAATTTTATTCTGATAATTTAAGCCCATGTAATATTAAAGGTACACTTGGTTAATTATAGTTATTTGCTTTACTTTCTACTAGCTGTATAGGAAAAAAAACCATGACTTATCAATTTTTAAAACTGTTTATATATTCTAATATGTATCTATTATTCATATGATAATAATTTTAAATTTATTTCATAACTAAATTTTGAGTCATTTGCTAATTTTTTAACTTAACATAAAATACAGAAATACTATAAAAATATATACCATAATATCTACAACTACTGCAAATGTAAAAGTGCTTTATTTGTTTATTTCAATGATTTTTTGATTTTTTGATGGTTATTACTAGTTTTTTCTGCTTTTAACTAACAAAATTAATGTTTATTTATCAAAAAAAATTACTTTTAAATTATAAATGTAATCCTCGTAAACTTATCATCCAATTGGCATTTATCGTAGTTTTCTACTCAACAATGGCTACCAATTAGATGATAATCACATTACTTAGGTACTGAACCAAAGCGATATATAATATATAAATAAATAAATTTATTATTAAAAATAACATATTAATTAAATTATTATGGAAAAAATAAATATTTTTTTTGCTAATTCTGTCAATAAATAACTGTTTAACACATATACATATAAAATATTTCACTCTGCACTACTTTTAAAATTTCCCAAACCACAGTTTAATGCTTAAAAAATTGTAATGACTTCAAAAAATAATTGACTGTATTTTGTATACTGTGGTAATGATAATCATGATTCATTGTTCCAAACATTATGTTTTTGTTGAGCATCCCGAATCTTTTTCTCTTAAAAAAGAATAAACAATTCAAAATTTATTGGTAAAAAAAATTAATGAATTAAATTTACCTTTAGCATTTGCCAACAATGTACGCTCAGCATTTATACGATCCGCTGATACATTCATCTTTAATCCTAAAGCACTACTCACTAGTCGTCTAGCCATTGCAGTACAAGTTTTAGGCCTAGTTGCTGGAAGAGGAACAATTGTAGCAGCTCTAAGCTTTGACTCTTTGGTAGCATTCTTAAGAGGTCTTGTTTTCACTAGTACTAATGGTGTGTTCAATGCTTGATCAGCTATTTAAATATTATAAATTATAAATACCAAAATATCAGCATTAAAATAAGTTATTTGATACTTACCTAAATGTGGACTTTCAAATACTGCTAATGCATGAGTATCATCCACCCAAATAATTTCAAAATGTTTTTTACGAAATACAGCGAATTGATTCATTAGATCAATAGTTTTCAATTCAGAAGAAAAACCATACACCTCAATAACACACTCCCCATCACCTGAACGTTCTTCAATTGTTTGATAATTACGATAATCTTCTTTTGCACATTGCACTTGAACTTTACCAATTGTGGAAACCAACTAAAATAAGAAAATATTTAAGTTTTTAAGCATAAAAATGAAAATACTATTATTATTATTATTAATATCTAATTACATAATATATAAGAATTTTTTTTTAAAACTGACAGAAATTAGTATTAATTTATAAGTTTTATACAATTTCAAATTCAAATAAATACATTTTAAAGGTTCTATTAAAAAAAAAAAAAGGTTAGATAGATCCTACTATAGAAGAAACATTAAACTGGGACTATTGTGCTATTTGAAACATTTATCAATGTATTGTTTTTTTCAACTTTAATAGTGTCATAATAACAAAAATTTCTAATAAGGAAATAAATGAGTTCTTAGACACATAAAAAGTTGTATTTTTAATTGTCAATTATTAAGTTCATAATTTATTAAATAATAAGAAGTTTATAAAGAACATTTTTTTTAGTAGGTTATCAGTGTGTAGGTTTAGATTAATATCAAACAATAAGACAACAAAACTTAATTTGCTTGTTCAAAACATAAAATACCAATATCAAATTTAAGGTTATCTAAAACAGTAATCCATCTATATTGTATGACTGACACTGTCAAATTATTAGAAAAATAATTGGTAATTATTTTATAAATATACATATTATATTATATATTGCATTTTAAAGACATGAAATTATATAAAAATAATTTTCTAAAATGTTAATAGTTTTTTAAATACCGAGTGTCTTACAATAAATTAATCGCCCACTACACATATGGTACACTATTTATGATAAGTTATTAGTTACATAATTTGATACTGAACATAAAAATTGTGAAATTAAAAATATATTTAAGCTATATAACTGACATTGTACCATTAAATAATGAAATAACTTACTTCTTTCATAAGCAAAGGATGTATATATTCATCATCTTTATCATACATATCTTCCCAACTACATTCATCTACATCTAAAATCTTTTTATTTTCTTTTTTCTTTTTTTTTTTCTTTTCATTAATTTCAATATTTATTTCAGAATTATTAATTAACATTGAACTTTGCTGGACAGTCAATTCTTTATTTACATTTTTAGAATAATTTGTATCTACATCTGTTAATGGATCACTATTAAAACTATCATTCAAGCAATAATGAGGACAGTTTGTATCATGTTCTTGTTCTAATTCTAATCCAGATACACCAGAAAAAACTACTTCATTCTCTTTTTGTGTTTCATGTAATTGGTTATTACTATTGGACATATCCGAGATATTATTATCATCAACTTTCATGTCTATTGATTTTATAGTTTTTTGAAACAATACATTGTCAACTGTAATTTTATCGTTAATATCTGATAATTGACAATCAGGTAAATTAACTGGTGTAGTTTTTTGAGGTACTAGAACATTGTCAGCTGTAATTTTATCATTAATATCTGATAATTGACAATCAGGTAAATTAACTGGTGTAGTTTTTTGAGATACTAACACATTGTCAGCTGTAATTTTATCATAGACATCTTCTAATATTTGAGAGTCAGGTAAATTAACTGGTTTATCATTCTGAATGCTTTTACAATTGACAAAGTCACATTTTGTTGAATCTCTATCACGGTTGTCAAAAATAGTTTCTACAATATTAGACTCTAATTCATTATGGTCTAAATTGGGATTTTTAATTTTAATTTTTTTGTTTGTTACAGATAAATTTGAATTACTTTTATTAATATCCACTGAATTTGGAAGAATACTAGTAGCTAAAGAATCAGAGAACTGAGATGAAGCATCATAACATGAAGTTTTAAATTCATTATTAACATCATTAATTAACATTTCATTTGATAAGTCTACAAATTTAAATGAATCTAAAGATTCTAATAAAATATGATTGTGTTGATTATGATTAGATAATGATATTGAACCTTTCATATCTTTAGAATATAATTTATTACTTGAACTATCTTGAATTCTTGAATTAGTATCAAGTTTATTTGATGCAGTTGAATTTAAATTACTATTTGTGTTGCTAGTTTTGGAACCAGTATTATTAGCTAATCCCCTAAGTGCTTTAGGTATATAAATAGGAATATCTGGCCTTTTACTTTGTTTGCGTTGATTGGATCTGCAATAATGTATACAATTACTTATAATATAAATTAGATATTACAACTAAAATAATTAATGAACTTGACATTACCTTGTACTTGGATCAATCTTTTTAGGCTTAAGTGACTGAAATAATCTTTCTTGGGCCTTCCTTTCATTAGGGGTTCTATATGCTCGATGTATACTAGAATTATTTTCATTGTGCCTTTCAGCATCTTCCAGGTCTACTTCACAATACCTATTAATCAAATTTTTTACTACATTTTTAAATATTTGTTAGACATAAACTATTAATATTATCATATATTTTAACAGACATTTACAATCTATTAATTACTAATATAACTTCTCTACTCTTTATATCTTAAATTTAAATATTATGATTCATAAACAATTAGGTATTAAACTAATTATTTTATACCTAATCACATTAACAGTAAATATTAAATAGTAAATAACTTATACAATTAAATAGAAAATTTTCCAAAAATAATCATAAACAAACCTCATTATGTTTATAATTATAAATATTTAAATTCATTTTTTTTAAATGCAGTATCTGGACACCAAGCAATTACATAAATAAAAAGCGCCTTTATTTATTTGATATATTACTTTGTACTATATACATTTATCTAATAGACCTAATTTTAACCTATCCTAAATTATGCTTTTTTCAGTATGTATTCTTAAAATTTTAATACTTTCTAAATATTAAATTTGCTAAAAGTTGTCAAAAATTTACATCTTATTTTAATCCACAACATTAATTGGATAGTAAAAAAAACACTATTTTTTGTGATTTTTCATAATCTGATGGTCTGATTGATGTAACTTGACAAAAATGACCGCAAAATAAAAATATATTCTTAACTCTTTAATATACTATTTTATAAAATTAAATTACTTTCAGCATAGAATTTTTAAGAAGTGTACTAACAGTAAAGAGCTAAAATCTATATTTTAAGAATGTGTATTAATTATTTAATTATATTTAATAAATAAGAATCATTATCTAGTACTTTGAAGCATAATATCTAATATCCAAAAATGTTAAAGTGACTATTGAAGGCTCTAGATTGGAAATAGCTCATTTTGATAAAAACCATTTCTAAAATTGTATTTTAAAATCTACCAAATCAGAGTTGATTAACTTCACAAGCCAAGTCATAAATGATTGAAAAAAGAGTTCAAAGATAAGTAACAATAAAATTCAAGATCATAAATAAGGAAAAATATTATTAACTAACTCCCTATGCTTTAAATTGAAAAGAATTATTTTAAATTAACTCCAAGTTGTTGGCACTAGACAGCTGTTTCTTAATTAATCCATGGTTGAATGTCTAAACACAACGTTTTTAAAATCTACTAAATTAGAAATAAAAAATTTTATTTTTTGAAAACTGACAATATATTATGTACTTAACACATGAATGAACAAATGACAAATATTTTATTAAGTATTTTAAAAAGATTAAGTACTAATAGTGTTTTAAATTAAAATTTTTAACTTACATAGGTTTAAGTGAAGAATGATAAACAACAATGCGTCTTCCGTAGCTACTACCAATTGATATGGTATTCAATTCGTTAAAAAATGTCTGCACTAGATTATGCACTAAAAACCGATTACGTGCGCTCACTGGAGGGAAAATAAGTACCACGTTTCTAAAACACAAACAAACAACCAAAAAATAAAGTTATTATTGGAATTTACAATCAAGTTTCCAAGGCAAACAGATTTATGCAGTTACCAACATTTTGTTTTTTAAAACGAAGGTGTTGATGTAACGTTTAACATCGACCAAGGCTGTCTCCAAAAACGAACATTCGTCAACTCGCAGATTTAATATATCTAACGACTCCATAAATGCAATAAGCACATTGACGCCAAAACTCGAAATCGTATTTTGTACATTTGTAAAAAAAAAAATTAACAAAAAAATAAATATAAATGTTAAATACACCAAAGATGGATTTCTGAATATTTACAATTTGGTTTTTAGTTTACTGTAAAAATGATAAATAAATGCTTAAGTTGAGCGGCGTAAAACGTAATCCGGGTAATTTATATTATACATAGATATAGACTATGAAAGAGTAATTTCGCGATCAAACATTCAATTGTGCAGAAAATAGAAATATTATCGTTGTTTATTTCATTATCCAAACAAAAACCTCAACTTTCAAAACCTTGATAAGGTAGTTATCAAACATATGGTAAACGAGCGACCTTTCACGCGACCTGTCCAACCAACAACAGACAACGCCTATAGAATATGTTTTAAATTTTATTAAAATAATTAAATAGGTAATTGCAATTAGCATTGAACAATTTAAAAAGTTGATCTATATGCGAACAAAAATATACACAGTATTATTTAATAGGTATCAATGTATCTTTGAGTACGTATTATACATAACTATTTAATTTTTATATAATAAACTCAATAGTTTAGTATTTATTTTTTATAGCATATGTAATATGTAATAACATAGTTAAAAATAAACTTGGACCATAGTAACTAGGTTACTGTAATAATACCCCCACTATGTTGTTTTATTACGTCAAGGAATCCAAATGCACGCATAAGGGGTTATGCAAAGACGTAATCTGTAGTAGTAAGAGGAAAGGAAGAGCAGTCGACCTGACATTTTTCATTTTTATAGTATACTGTGTAGATGAAGATATCGTTTTGTCCTTGGTTTAAAGATCTTATTCATTTAATCTCACATATATTTTTATTTTCTTCATGGTACTTTTGTTATATTTTTGTCTACGTTTGTTTTTTTTCAATTACTAATTTGTTATTAAATTATTTATATCATAATAGTTTAACACTAAGTCACAAAGTTTAAAAAAGTTATAATAGTTATTATAATTTTGCTCATTACAATATGAATGTTCTATCTATACGTCAGTACTCAATTAAAATATATACATTTAAAACTAATTTCACAATTTTTTAAGATATCAAAGACTAATTTTTGCTACATTACACATAGGTATAGATTTATTATTGGTAAATTATTTGGTAAGTAGAAGAATCAAGCCCAGACTGGGCCACTGTGCTACTGTTCTACAGCACGGTGGGGTGCATATGCTTTAATTTTATAATAAAATACTTGAGTTTTTTTTAAACAATTAATGAGCAAAAAAAAAAGGTCTTTTTATATTGTATCTATAGGCCTATGGGCCGTCTGCTAACTGAGAATAGTAGGCCGGTATCCTCCCAGTTCGGACCTGAGAAGAATTTCACATTTCCTCACACAAAATTAATGTATTAACACTATAATGTTTGATTATGTAACATTATATCAGAAATAGCAGTATATTCAGAATTTGAATAATTAAAATTTAGTTATTTAGGTAATCATTATAGGTATACACAAATTCTAAAAGTAGGTAGTGCCCATATATTATTATCAACCCTCTATATTAAAATTATTAGACTTTTTTAACTTATTGTGCTTTAATATACATAATATAGTAGAAAAATACAAATTGAACACTACCATAATATATCATTTCCAAAAGAGTTGTCGTAGCGGGTCAATATTACACTTAAAATATAATCAAGAAGGAAAAATAAATGAATCATGTTATTACTTATTAATAATAGATTATCACAAGTACACAAGTTAAATATTGAACAATTAGTTTCTCAGTACCTACAAAATTACAATTAACTCATTAAAATCTTTAATACTTATATAATACAAATCACTACACGTTAAACTATATACAGATTTTCAACAATAGAGTGCACACAGTAAATTATCTTAATTTTCAAATTTATTATAAAAATATAATCTAAAAATTATAAATGAGCAATAATTTGATTGGGACATCAGATACTTTAACCCATGCAATATCACAGGATTTGCCTAGGTAGTAGGCATGCTGCATCTTCTGTGTGCACACTTATGGTAGGTAATCATAGACCTTTAATTTATAAATATAGATTATACTTTATAGATCTATAATATAATATGTTTTATAACATTTTATACTGAATAAAACAAATATTTCCTTTAATTTTAATAAAATTAGATATTTGATAAAAAAATCAGTACAAAATAATAATTTATTAACCCATGTACTTAATCTATTCTACCAATTTTTTTTTGTTTGGTAACTTATTAGACTAGGTACATTAAAAAAATCACACAACATATTACAATAATCATACATAATATGTATTTGGTCTTTTACCTGTTGATATAATAATATATAGTATAGGTAATACACAGATTTCATAATCAATAGCAAACATATTTTAAGAAAATGGATTAATAAAACACCACCTTCTCATTTCTAGGTTGTGACTTTAGATGGTAACTTAGCTAGTACTATAATTTATTTTGCTTACTTAGAAGTCCAAAGGTTGATTTACAATGTAGATAAAATGTTTATCTACATTAAGAACTGGACATTGCTGAGAATATAAAATACAAAAGTCAAGAGAATATATATATGTATTTGTAACAATTTTATTCATTTAACCACAATGTTATTTTTCATCATTGCAAATAGTAATTAGCTATGTTAAATATTAAATTTTCAATTGAAGAAATAATAGAAACTGTAAAATTTACTTTTTATGAAGTTTCAAATATTTTACTTAGTCTCTGAGGATTTACATTAACTTTTTAATCTACCATAATAATATTTGCTACTTGATAAATTTTTATCTATGTTTACTTTAAATTGTTAACATTTAACTGACATAAAGATACATTAAGAATTAAATAATTTTAAATAGGTACTTTTTCATAAAAAAAATCTTTAAAGTTGATAAAGGTGAATAAACATTATTTCAATATTAACAAGAAATTAATAGCAACTGATTGAATAAACAAGTAATTTTAATACATACTAAGTATAGGAAAATAAAAATAAAAATAAACAGTTTCAAATTAATAAATATTTACATAATTAATCTTAAATTACTTAAATTTAACACTATGCAAACACATGCATATAATTAATAGGGCAGAACACATAACCGGCTGGTTCAATTGAAAATTGTTGTTAGGTACACAAAATACTAAATAATATCAATTAATGAAAAACTATGATTACCATACCTAATAAAACAGTTGATGAAAAATATTTTTTATACCAGCGAAATCATTTAAGTGGGTTATGACTTATGAGTATAAGATTGTTTAAAATCCAAGCAGTTTGATTTATTCTTAATACTATTACTAATTAAACATAAGAAAATATTGTAAAACAAAATCATAAATTAAATAAAATCAATATTTACTCAATACATTGAATTAAATTTTTCTTTTTATTGTACCTAAGAAAATTTAGACATTTTTGTTTTCATTAAAGAATAGAATTACATAAAATGTATTATTTTATTGTTATAAATGATTTAACTGAAATTATCATTAAAAATATCTATAAAATGTATTTAATATTTTTATAAATAATAAATAATTCATTAAGAACAATGTAGATTTAAGATTTAAATTAAAAAACATTTTTACAGAAATATAAAAATATTTTAAAATAATACACTTATTATTTGTACATATTTTAATTAAAAATCGTATTATTATGTCCAAAATAAAATACTGAAAGCCATTGCAATACAACAAAATGATACATATGGACTTTTTCGTTCTCCAATTCTTGCTAACTTCCAAAACGTTCCTAATGGTCTAAAAAATAACAACGTTAATATCAATATTATTAAAAATTAATTTATGTATACATAAAAATATGTGTGTATATCTGTTACATTTAAATCTTAAACTTAATTGTGTAAATAGTGTTTTATTAAAATCTACATTTTAAATGGCTATTTTTGGATTTTTTAGTGTTTTTATTTAAAGAATTCATGTTTCAATGACCTATTTTGAGACTTGGTGTTGTTATCAAATTTTACTATTAACCTAATAAATAGTAATAAACTATATACTTGAGTAAAATATATTTTTATATATATATTTTTTTGGTAGATTAATTAAAATTAATAATTTGTTAATCAATAGTTAGATAAACACACACACATAATATATACAATAATAGTAAAATAAAATAATCATTAGAACCATAGGTGTGCATACAATTTCAAATTAGATGCACCAAACATTTTTACTACTCTATTTTTTTACATAAACATATTATCATTTAGTTATATATATATGTCTACAACTGAATTGTTAAAATATTATACACTAATGTGGCTCCATATAAATTCATTATTGTTCCTTTAATTGACTAATGTTAATATTATATAAAAATGCAACAATGGTGAAGTGTATTAAACTTTAAACATTTTATTGATTTAAGTGAACATGAACATGATATAAAATTGGTAATTTTACAATGTATTGAAACAACCCCAATCTAATTTAATCAGCCCTTGTAGACTGGCCGACTCCACATCTATGAATTATAATTAGGTCAAACAAGAATCTTTTGCCCTGATTTTATAAAACTTAATCTGGTCACACTAATCTAAATAGAATGATTAAGTAAATATCATACCTAACAGTGGCAGGCTAAACTCATTACAATTTACATAGCTATATTATTCTGTACATACCTTCCTAGTATAAGTTATCACTTATTAAATGCGAGTAAATTATATTAAAATTAAAACAAACGGTGACAGTTTAACAATAGAACAACATTTTACTGATCAACATTATGAGTCAATAAAACAATTATTATTTATTATTAACGTGACTACCTAAATATTAAGAAAAAGTGAATTCTGCAATCTTGGTTTTAATTTATAAGACCATTCAGTACATTACAATAATGAAAAAACGATTAAAACAAAATGTATTAAATTAATAATATTTATTTATCTTACCCAACTTTATTCCTATCTATAATACTTGGTAACAACTGTCTTAAATATGTGCATGTACAAATAGACAATAATAAAATTGTCAATAGACTTTGTAAATTGAATATCGCCAACTAAAATCAAAACATTGATTGATGGTTAACCAAATCAAAATTAATACACAATATAAGTTAATTAAATAATATATTGTAAATATATTTTACCATGGTTTCAGCTTGGAATTAATTAATTAATTAATCTAAAAATTTAAGCCAAAAATTTTGGAAAATAAATTTTATTAAATACCAATAAATTGAATATTGAATTTTTAAAACCAAACGATCGAGTCATCACTAAACAGTAGACACTCATCAACAACAAATAGTACGGATTTATGATATGGAACATTGATAAGAAAATTATACATTATCACAATTTTAGATAGTATTATCACAAAATAAATTTATTGCATCTATTCTGTGTTAACTGTATTTCTATGATTGCGCCTATTGCCTACATGTTAATAATTAATATTTAATATGTTATAAAAAATGTATAATGTTACTCATATTTTAAATTTATATCAAGTTTAAAATTTACTTAAGTTAAAGTAATTAAAATCATCGCAATTTAAATCTTTATGAAGTCGGATTATGTGGTGCTATTCACAATACAGAAATAAAAGCACCAACAATAGACCACTTTTTCAACTTGAAAACCAAATATTGAAATATATCTGCAGACTGCGATGAATTACGTAATTTAAATAATTACATAGAGTAAATATTAAGATTAAACTCGATGAACAATACTTTTTGCTTACATGTGAAATGTGCATAATAGGTAGGTACATAAAGTTTAATTTATTAAGAAACTGGTGAATATATAATCTAACAATAAAATGTCTACTTCCTAAGAATTATTCTCGAATTGATAATTGGGCTGAAAAGTAAGCCACTGTGCCTTACCCTAACAAATTTCTAAAAAAATATCTTGAAGAGCTCAATACAAAATTGATTTTTTTCTAAGGCCAAAGCAATTGTAAAAGTTAGATAGTCGATGGACATTATATAACTCATATAATATAATAATGTATATAGGTACTAAATTTAGGTCAAAATCCAAACTGCAAAGTATAATGTACAGTTTGGTGCTCTTATATAAGTATATTATCTAAGTTAAATCGAAGAAGAATTAATTTTTCTAATAATTTACCTTAAATTATTAAAAACTTATAAGTCTGTATGATGAGGTTAATTAGTAATTGACTATTGAATTTAATATTTATTAATTATTTAGTATTTAGTTCTAATACTAGTGACATACACGATTCATTGCCATTAACTATACTTCTTAAGTACAGTATACTAATATTAATGATAATATCCAAAATGATAGGTTGTCACTTGTCACGAATTCACGATTTACAAGAATAAAACAACAGTGAGCACGACACAAAACGATTTTTAAGATAAATATAGCAAAACACCAAAAGTCAAAACAAATTTATTTTTTATTTTGGTATAATAGTGACGTAGCCAAGGGACTGAGGGGGCTGCAGCCTTTTCCCCGAAATATTAAGAAAATCTAAAAACTATTTTAATTTTTAATGGTCTACGATAATCGCTATAAACGTTTTAAATTGTATTTTATTGATTTTAAACTGTTATTTTTATTTTATTAGTTTTTATTATTTGTTCATAGATAAAAATTTAAGTTATCTATAGATCAAGGGTAGATCCGGGGGGGGGGCACTGGTGGCAAGTGCCACCCCCGTTGGGAAAAAAAATAAAAATTTTAGTATCAAAATTTTTTTTTGTGGGGGGATATATCTATATTATAAAATTTTTCCTATAAAATGCCCCATCCGTAAATACATGCTGGATCCGCCCTTGCTATAACTGTACTAATAGGTATTTAATGCATATAAAAATGTGCTAGTTCAGGTATTCAGCCGAATCCGGCCCGCGAGGGTGTTCCAACCGGCCTAAGATTATTTTATAAAAATTAGAAATTTTTATAGGTGTAAAAAAAAAAATTATTTACAAAAAAAATTATTTTATTAACTTTTTAAAAATATAAAATAATTTTTAATGGCAAAAACAAACTAACAACTATAGTGTGGAAATATTGAGAACTTTAAACACATAGGTACGATTTGAGTCATGAATTTGATAAGTGAACAAAGATAATATTATATCCGATAAAATGTACAATAGATATACCTATGACTAGTTTATATTTTATCGAAATGAATAAAAAAAAACCCATGAAGCATATACGATATACGGCCCGCAGTACAAATATACATTTTGAATGTGGCCCGCCAGTTGAAAAAGGTTGGGCATGCCGTGCTAGTTAATCAGTCACGATAGTACAAAATATTAGCGTTTTGTGGTTTTTTTCATTGTTGCCATATCAATTGGTTTCATGTTAAAATCTATAGATAAATATTAGTAAGTGATTAGCAAAAATACATAAGTATTACGTGTAAAATAATTTATTTTATATTACTATGAATACCATGAAATACAATATCCAAAATATTTAAAAGTGCATTATTAAATCAATAAATGATAGATAAGAGTTATAGGAACCAAAATCTAAAATAAAACTTCGGCATCTGTAATATGTCATACTTTTGGAAGAGCCTAAGTAAAACACCTAGTTGCGCCCAGACAGGTTAGCAAATGGTGCAACTGCATGTGCTCTCGTGATGGCTAAGGTGGAAGGGATGAATGTATGGCCGTATGGGTGGGTTGGTGAGGTACCTATATAGTTGGATAACTTGGATACTAAACATTATGGACTATGGTCAGTAAATAACAATATTAAAATATAAAAACATGGATGGATGGGTAACTTTTGTTAGTTACAACTTACATGTGACATGTGCTCTCAAAATAGCTTTTCCATTGAAACCACCGATGTATAAACTTTATTAAAAAATATAATATATAAGTGAGTCGTGAATTATTAAAGTAAGCAGTAGGTATATAATTCGATGTATAAAAGATAACAATATTTTTTAACAGAGTGATTTTTCATTTTGCACAAATTAACCTGGAGTTAAATACATAATAATGATGTAAAAATTATTTTTATTGGTATTGCGTGATTATACAAATGGCAAACGGTTACCAATTACCAAACTACTATAGTCCAAATAAATGAGTGATAAAATCATTTACTTAAATTGTTGCACCCAGTTTCAATATAAAAATATTGAGATACCTCCTGAGTCCAGATGAATAACATTGAATTGAGTTCCGGATTAACTTTTGGGTTATCAGAGTTAAGTCCGACCAATGTTGAGTCCCTTTCTTTAATTATTATAATAAATACCTATTGTCGAAAGATACTAAAAAATTGAAAATTTGTCATAGATACCTATAAATATTTCAAAAAGAGTTAAGATTTATTAAAAATGTTATCATAATATTGGTATTGAAAATAATAATTTGGAAATTTTAAGTACATACTTATATTATTATTATTAGAAATATAACAAAATATTAAAAATTGTTTGAGGAGAAATAATTATTTTACGGGTGAATTCGTGAATATCTAAACATATACACTCCATTCATTTTTCACTTGTAATAATTTAATAATTAAGTAAGTACCTATTAACTAATAGTATGTCACCGACTATTAAGATAATTATATGAAATTTTATCTAAATATATGGACTCAATTCAAAGATATTAAGATAATAGGCTGGACTCAGTTCAAACACATAAAAGTGCATGGACTCAATTCTATATCACTGGTGCAGATTGCGTAATGATTTTAGACTAATGAGACTGTTAATAATTAACTACAATTAACCATGTAAATCTTTTTGAACTTTTGTCAAAATAGGATTATCATAATCAGTTTTAATCACTATCACATTTTTATTAATTATTTATTTTTAATGACTTGGATTGGACCACGAGTCCAAGTTGGAAAAAAATTACCATCTTCGTTGTCTCTGAAATTATTTTCATATACAGTCACCGTGTTTTAAAAATTTGATGAACCGTTTAAAATGTAAAAAAAAAAAAATCAAGAACTATTATCAGTAAGTGTTTATTTTTATACTAGGCGGCAGGTGAATCATAATCAAAAGTTATCAAAACTTCCAAAATAAATTGTAATAAATATAACATATTTTTTTAGTTGTTTACGCACCCCCATGAAATGGGTCTCGGGGTGCTTGAGCATCGCAGCACCCTCAATAGTCGGTACCCATGCTTCCATGTGATTAAATTTAATATATTCGTCTACACATTTGATATATTATTCAAGTATAAATTTGGGATTTAATTTTAAACACCTACCTACAAGCAAAACAAGTTTCTTTGATAATACGGTATAAATCTATTACCTACTAGAATTTTCACACATTTTGTTTTTGACTTCACTATTCATTTTCGTCTTTTACCATGTTGACTGTACGACCGAAGAACATTTTACAACCCTTCTAGTATACGAGTCTATTTTTGTTAATTATCTTTTCAAAACGTCAACATTTTGAGTTTTGACAACTTTTTAATCTAACTATTTAATGTGATTTCGCTGTTTTATATCATAAAAAATATATTTTCCCTAATATTAAATGTCTCAATAGGGACCCGGCTATATATTATAATCCCACCATACTTCGTTTTTAGTATATTCTATCCGTTTTCATTTGCATTAATTTCACTACCACAAGTACCACACAATATATTTCTATAAATAATTCAGCTCTCAAAAGTAGTTATAAACCTTTAGGTTTGTTACATTATGTATTATCTATGAGTTGTATATTATCTGGCAAGTATTTTAATTGTTAATCTATGACCTGCAGTTCAGGACGGTCAGGTACATCATTAGTTAATCTATTCAAAATCAATGAAGATATATTTTTAGTATAACTTTTTCGTAATCACTTTCCGAATATTTTATCTTAATCGTCACCGCAGCTTAAATATAATATACCGTTTGACCGATGTCGGCAATATAAAATTTTACTTTGATCCGATTTAATTTCAAATGTTGTAGGTACTAGGACTTCGTGTTCAAATTCTTTTGTGAACCTGAATCTAACAAACTCGACATACTAATTATTAATGAATTTCTTATTAAAGAATTTAATAACTGCAGATGATAAATGATAGCACTCGTTTTCCATCAAACGCTTACCAAAATAGATTTTCACCTAACGATTTTAAAGCACATTGATATTGATATGACTATTTAATTTATAAACTAACTAACATAATTGGTTTTTCTTCT